CGCCGTAAAGCAAGAAGAAGAAGAAGACGCGTCACGCACCGGCTCAGGACAGTTCGGACATTGCGGTGAATCAGAGGTAAAAAACGATATAAATACTGTTCAGTTTCTTGCACAGACCGATCGTTTCGTGTCTTTACACATCAATGTATCATCACAAGCCACAGGGTTTCATTTGGTTTTGTTTGTGTATGTTTTTTTGACTCTCAAAGCCGTGATTCCCATTCACTTCCATTATAAGACTGACAGACTGCAACGGTTTGTGTTAAAAATCTTCGTTTGTGTTCTACTGAAGAAACAAAGTCACCTACATCTTGGATGCCCTGGGGGTAAGCAGATAAACATCAAATTTTCATTTTTGGGTGAACTATCCCTTTAAGGTTGTTGTTAGCACAGGTCCAATGGTTTGTGAGGTTAGAATTGTTGCACTGGGGGTGATGGGGGTCAATTTTTACTGTCACGTTGTCAAATGGATGATTTGCATGTAACACAATGAATGAACTTTGAAGATTTAAGTTCTTTTCACTTTTGTTTGGAATTGCAGACTATCAGGATCAGAGTATTATGATTTTTGTAATGTGAATGTCTTAAGATATGGATCAAACTATAGCCCTTGAGCACCTTTTATTTTGGAATTGGAAAAAAATTACGAATTGGAAATTGCGTCTCATTCACCCATTTTTTGTATTGGTGGCCTTTTTAATGATGCAGTGGGTAAATGTTTTGTCATGCTAGCTTGTTTCTGTTCTGTTTCATGCTTGTTTTTAGCCTCTGAAGAGTTGGGTTTTGTTTTTCATTTCGAGCAGGAGGAAGTGATGTAAGGTGACACCAGCTCTATCCTTGCCTTCCTGGTCAGTTGATTAGTTGTAGAATAAGTATATTCACATTGACTGTACGTGTACCTTTTTATATATATTTTTTTTTTTAATCATTTTTTTCTCTGTCAAGGCCGGGCCATAAAAACAACTCCAAAAATGCCACATCTATTCATCGTTTTACATTGTAATTTTACTTGCATATCTTCGCCGATTGTTTTGTGTAGTTACATAGTGACATAACTAATCCAAATGGTGTGACAAGTGATTTTGTTTTTACATAAGCAGCACATCAGTTTTTGTTTTTCTCTGTTGCCAAAGGATGCATTTCAAAATATGTACTGTATGCCTTTGATTCATTAACTTTGATTCATTGTTTTTTTTGTGTGTGTAGCTGGACATATAGCCACTGAGAAAATTACAGTACTGCAATATTAACAAATTTTGAAACGATTATATGAATGAAACCGATTGGTCTCCAGGCTGGAACCTAGGAAACCGTGTTTAAACTTTCTGAGAGTTGAGTGGTTATGGTGGCCTTAATGTTGCTGTAGTATTTGTGTGATTTACTTTATTCAGGCTGTCAATCAAAGGGTCCGTATTGCTTTTAAAGTGACTCCAGATTTATTGTGCTTTAACATTTATATTTTACACAGAAATGTGCCAGGTATTGTCTGTTTGTTTGCTGCCCTTTAATGGGACAGATGCATTTCATGCCAATGATTAGACTGTACATTTAGATGTGGTCTCTAGGCATCATACACGTTTATCTCTGTTGACTCCACTATTGTTGGAGAGCTATTTGAAATATTGTTTCCTCTTCTCATGCAAGGGAATATTCACAGGGCTGCACTGTACAACTGAAACCATCCATTAAATATAATATTAGTTGCTCATTACAAAATACATTCAGCTCAAACCAAACTGCACATAGAGGGACAGTAACATAACGGGTCAAGCTTAAACAAACACAAAGGGCATAAAATCTTGGGTAATATAAAGTATGTGCATATGAACCTAAAGTCAATGTTGATGTCATTTCTCATTAATTGCCTTTTTTGCCATATCCCAGCAACATTTGGTATAAATTACACGCAATATTTGTCAATGCATATAGTGCATCTTATATTATCTGAATAGCAGATCAGTCATTTATAGGTCACCTAAGAGCAAAAGGTTGAGCCAGGATTGTTTATTGATTGTTACAATTTGAACTGACTTATTTTGAACACACAAGGCTTGGTCAAAGACTTTAAAGTCACAAGGAAACACTGTCAGATATTTTTTCATTGATGTTTCTTTCTTGATGTTACATGGTTTTCAGCCGTTGTCTGGATAGAAGTTATTTTTCTGATGCCTTTAAATGATGTAATCAAAGTATTTTTATCAACACATTGCGTCTGTTAAGAACACAACAACGACGTGAGGTTCACACTCCAAAATCGAAATAAAAACAATGCAGAGAATATTTTTATTTGATAAATTACTTATGTAAATAAGATTTATGTATAATTTCAATGATTTTCTTTGACAGAGGTTTATACTGAATTACCAAAATATCCGATGGAAAATAAACAAGTGTATCTGTACGTCTGTCTGTGATCATTTTAAGACAAATGCGACACTTGAAATAATAATACACACTATATTAGAGAAGCTCACTTTTTATTTAAAAATATGGAAAAGACAGTTTAACATTTTACGAATTCAGAGTGTTTTTGCTCCATCATTAGCCAGTACAAGAAGTCTGTCTCAGCATGTTGAATCATTACAATAATTTACACACCTAAAAATCACATACATTTTTCATGAGGTAGAGGTCTACCGTATTACATAAGGAGGGTTTCATTTCCTAACTGGGAAAGTGGGCAATGTAGAGTCCACTGATAAAGTCACGCCTACCGTGACAAGTGTGCCACTGTACGTGCTATGAATTATTGTATTAACTATGGCATTGCTTATCAGCACAATAATATTTTTCAGCACTTAAAGGCAAGAAATCTCTTCAGGGATTAAGACGAATAAATATGAAATCATGGAGCGAACAAATAAAAATTTCACACAAACAAAAAAGCAACTGCTTTATTTAAAACATTTAATGAAATCAGAATGTCTATAAGGCTACGTTACAGTTCCATTCAAACAGTTCTCAGTGCATAGCCATACAAAGCAGTCTTCAAAGTGATAACATTAAAAACCTTGTTTTCAAGTACACACAAAAGCAATCATTTCAAAGCATGGTCCCCGTGCAGTAAACTCACTTCCAACAAACTGAAAGTTGAATTCATATTCAAGTCTTGAAGGTGCTGAGGTCATGTGTACATGGCTCCATGTAGATCCTCTAGTCTGTGTTCTCTTTGCCTTCTCCGTTCCTGTAAAAACAAACAAACACACTAAACACTCAGGTATATTCATAAGGTGTCACAGAAGAATACAATGAATGAATTACAGAAATAATAATGACATTAAACAGATATCTTACCTTGTCTTTTTTGAACTCCTCATAGTCTGGATTGTCAGTGGGTAGTTCAAGTCGACACAAGGGACATGAATTGGTCTGTAATGTTATGTGGAAACACTTATGATTATGCCAAACATGAAATATTATCCACATCCCTTTTGTTTGGGGTTGGTAAGATTCTTTCATGTTTCTGAAAGAAGTCTCTTATGCTCACCAAGGCTGCATTTATTTAACAAAAATACAGTACTATAGTGAAATATTATTATAATTTAAAGTAAGTGTTTTCTGTTTTAATATATTTCAAAATTGCATCTATTCTTGACGGCAAAGCTGAATTTTCAGCAGTCATTACTCCAGTCTTCAGTGTCACATGATCCTTCAGAAATCATTCCAATATAGTGATTTGCTGCTTAAAAAAACATTCCGAATTGTTATCAGTGTTGAAAACCGTTGTGCTGCTCGATATTTTTTGTGGAAACTGTGATAGGTTTTCTTCAGGATTTGATTGATAGAGAGTTTGATTAATACGGTTTACAATACAATACAAATTAAACACTGTTATTGTCCCTTTTAATCAACTGAATGCATTTTTGCTTACCGGAGGACCATAGAGAAAATAAAACCACTAAACAGACCTTACTGAGCCAAGGCATGATGCATCCCGTGTGGAACAGATGTTTACAGGGCATCTCTCTCACAGTCTCTTGCTCCTCAAACTCCAGTAAACACACCGGACACTTCAGTGCTTTATCTGTCAAATGAAAAAAGAGCTAGAGGAAAGCTCAAGAATGATAGTCATGGACACCAAGGATTCAAGACCTTCTAATTCAATCAAACTTGCTGCCAATGCCAAACACAATAAAGCATCTATTACCAATTATCCTGTTGCTAATGTTCCTCTGTGCAATGATGTCCTCTATGAATGTGTTTGCAGATGATTATGAACGAGTAGTCTGTCACCTGCTTGTTCAGGGGAGATGATGACCACAGGAAGACTCTGAACCACGGCTTTGGCTGCAGGAGGCGGGAGACGCTGGTCCCAATCCGACAAATCAAATGAACCCGAGTCTATGTCAAGACCCTGCATCAGAGACCTATAGCCGCATAATTGTTAAAAACGGTTGGCAATATCATTACGTTCTCATCCACATAGCTGACAAAAACTATAAATATACTAATACTAATTCATACAAATACTAATTAACTACTATTATGCTAATGCTGTTATTTACCAGCACGTAATTAAGCACATCAACAGTAATATTCAAAAGTTTGGGGTTGTCAATGTTTTTGAAAATCTCCTTACTCACCGAGGCTGAATTTATTGGATCAAATACAGTAAAAATTGTGAAATATTATTACAGCTTAAAATAACTGTTTTCTGTTTTAATATATTTTCAAATGGAATTTATTTCTATGATGGCAAAGCTGAATTTTCAGCGGCTTCAGTGTCACGCGATTCTTCACAAATCATTCTAATATGCTGAATGAAACATTTATTATTAATGTTGTTGAAAACATTCTATTTTCCGAAGACAAGATCATCGTGATTAGCTGTTCTGTCATAAGAAGACTCCAAGACCTGAAATTGGTGTCAGAGAAAGGAGACAAGCAAAACGTGCAGTGTTGGGGTGCCTCCAGGACCAGGGTTGGGAACCACTGAAATAACACACTATAACTTTTCACATTTAATTTTGACTACATATGTATAAAGTCAACAGGTTGTCATGGATAAGTTTTGCATATAAGCAAATGTACATATGTGTACATTTCATCCTGATAAAGGGGATTTATGCAAGATCAAGGTTGTGTCAAAGTGTGTGTGTGTGTGTGTGTGTGTGTGTGTGTGTGTCAGGG